TGTTAATTTGTCTTATTTGCATTGAAAAACATGTTTTATATGGACATACAGCCACTTTGCTAGGAATAAAGTTACCCATTACCTACCGTCTGAAAGATAAAGTGGACAAGGAACGGTTACAGTACGGAATGAATTTTGCGTTCGGAGGAACAGGAGTGTTCGACACAGGCTCCAAATTTTAACATGACCACTCAGATCAGTCTCTTCGAGCATCTCATTGGCGATGTCTACTCACAGTCCGACCTTTCTTCTTCCCTCGCTCTCGTTAGTGTTGCTGGCAACGACTACGCCAATTTCCTCGCTTCAAACACCTCATTCTATGTAAGAAGACACTCCTTATTATGTTTCACAAAGAATTATCTGTATATTAATCAAATATTCAAAATATCAGATAACGTAACCAATGGACCCCGAAAACTTTGGTTTGTTGAGTTATTCATATTTATCCTCTATCGCACTTTGCATGCCCTCCCAGGATTCATCAAGAAAGTTGTGGATCAAACCAAGGTGAATTTGAGACGAATCCACACCTTAGGAGTGAAGAAGATAGTAGTACCTTCATTGGCACCGCTCGGTTGCATCCCCTCCTTCGTCAAATCCTCCCTGATCCAGGGTCGTTGCAACGACATTCTAAACCTCTTTGTTGACATCCACAACGCATTGTTGCATCAAGTAGTGACAAATCTCAACAATGAGACTAATCATACGACCTTTGTCATTTTTTATTACAACAACGCCTTCTCGACTGTTTTCAAGAACAAAGGAGAGAATCCAGGTAACCAAAGTTTAAAACCTTTTTTTTTTTGTTAAGCGACCATGGGTCTTTGGTCCATATTAGTTTGCTCTCCGCTGGAACTTGTCACACTCCCCCAAATTTTGTTTCTCTAGTTATAGAATCATTTGTATTCCATATTTTTAAGCTTTGTCTAATCGATTTACAAATATACAGGGAGTACGACGACGTTTAAAACCCCGTTTAAAGCGTGTTGCGAAGGCACTTGTAGCGTTGTGGACGCGAAAGGTGTGAAGGACTACACCTTATTTGATGATCCTAAGTCTGCTTTCTTCTGGGATGGACTTCACCCTACACAAGAAGGATCGAGAGCGGTTTATGCGGTTTTAGCCAAAAATATCACTGCATCTTTGACTATATCTGAAATTTAAATGTCTTTGCAATTTAAAGATTTTCTTATTCTGCTTGTAGTTCAATTTTTTCTTTTCTTATTGTATCTCTCCGTCTTTCATATGTGTTTGCAAGGTTTATGTGTTTGTGTGGCATCTCTCCGTCTCTGTGTTTATTGTGTGTCAAAGAATAAAGACCTTGGCCAATAAATTTTTAAAAATCTTGTTCACTGTTCTTATATATACAAGGAAACGAATCCGCATGGAAAAACAGGTTTCATTATAATTAATTTTTTGTTATACACAACACACATTTTCTGATGAGAATCAATTGGATAACGGAAGTGACGGACATCACTATTATATTGAGGATTATATTGGTTATATAAGTAGTTGGCATATGTTATGTAATCATCTTTCTTTTTTGGCAAAAGATTTTAATTAAACTAATAAACATACAACATATATAAATTATACAAAATAGAAACTATCTCAGGCTAATGTTTTTGCAGATTTTGCTAACCATCAACTTCCTGATTAACTTCCTTATCAATGGTTTGGAACCTCTATCTATTTGTGTTAGCTATTAAGCGTAGGATATTCTCACAGTAGATAACAACTGTTTGGATCCTTCCACTCTAGTCTAGTATCTAATAGCTACCAAGTGCATCATATATCATTTTTGAATCTCCACAAAAAGCGACATTTTGATTACTATGTAAGACGGTTTCACATAGAAAAAAAACTTCAGCTTGAACTTGTTGTTGGCTCTATAGAGGTGGATCCTTTCATGATCTTCTTACCCTCGTGATTAAAAAGCATCAACCTGATACTTGTGTTTTGATTTTTGAAACATCCATGAGCCATTTGGTAAATGATACCTAGTAAGATATTATCTTAAATAGG